TTGATAAATTTTTTTTTCAAAATAAGGTTTTTATCTACCGGGTCTGGAATAGAACAATTGGGGCTTTTACGCAAGAATTCAGACAGTTTTTCCCTCAGGCCAAGATGTTGTCTCATAACACTCCTCCTGATGATACAATACGATCATCTGATGCCCAGTACATTCAGGTAAGGTTGTTAAAACTTATTTTAACAAGCCAGCCATTTCCCACTGAGGCAGGGTGACCCAAAAAAAGAAAGAACTCTGAAATATCTGAAAATATTAGCTTCTTGCATACTTCCTCCCTCAATGGGGATATCCAATTTTTCTTCATTAAAATTGTTTGATCCCCTTATCACCTTATTCTTATCTATTTTTCACTTTCAACTTTCTACTTTACACACCCTCCCAAACTCCTCCACCACCCTTTGAAAACTTTTCTTTAGAATCCCCCAAAGCACAGTATCATCAGCAACATTTAACTGTGTCAACTCCCATTTTGTATTTGATTCCCCAAAATTTTAAAATCCCTCCCCTCTCCCGAACACCCTACAATTTACTTTTTTACAACCTCATCTATAAATATGTTAAACAACCATGGTGACTTTTAAAACATCTCTGTCAAAGACCTATTTTTACTGGGAAGTAATCTCCCTTCTCCTACACACCCTAACCTGAGCCTCACTATCCTCATAAAAAAAACTACGCATTTAGTAATATACTACGTATTCCATACCACTTCAACATCTGCCACATTGCCCCTCTGTCCGCTCTTTTATATGTCTTTTCTAAATCCATAAATGCAATGAAAACTTAACTACTTTCATCTGAATACCGTTCACATATTGCTTCAATGTAACACTTTGATATACACTCCCTTACCCATTCTAAAGCCTCCTTGCTCATCCGCAATGCTGCTCTTTGTCTTACCTATTATTCTTTTAATAATAACCCTACCGTACACTTTACCTGGTATACTCGGTAAACTTGTTCCTCTATAATTTTTACAATCCCCCCCCTTCCCTTTATATTAAGGAACTATACATGCTCTCTGCGAATCCCTATGTACTCTCTTTCATAAATTTAGTAAACAAAAATACCAACCCCTCCAACACTATATCCCCTCCTGCTTTTAACATTTCTGTCATAATCCCATCAGTTCCAGCTACTTTTTACCCCCCTTTTATTCTACATAATGCCTCATGCACCTCCCCCACACTACATCCTGCCTTCTTTACCCCTAAAAGACTTGTCCTCAGGAAATATAAACAAATTAAAACTTTTTTTTTTTTTTAACAACAAGTCGGCCCTCTTCCACCGGGCAGGGTGACCCAAAAGAATGAAAATCCCAAAAAGAAAAATACTTTCATCATCATTCAACACTTTCACCTCACTCACACATAATCACTGTTTTTGCAGAGGTGCTCAGAACACAACAGTTTAGAAAAACATATACGTATAAAGATACACAACATATCCCTCCAAACTGCTAATACCCAAAAAACCCCCCCTTTAGATGCAGGCATTGTACTTCCCATTTCCAGGACTCAAGTCCAGCTATATAAAAAATAACCGGTTTCCCTGAAATCCCTTCACTAAATATTACCCTGCTCACACTCCAACAGATCGTCAGGTCCCAAATACCATTCGTCTTCCATTCACTCCTATCGAACACGCTCATGCACGGCTGCTGTTTACATAATTTTTATTTGAGAATTTTTTAATGGATATTGCATTAATTTTTGGCAAGAAAGATGTAAAAAAAAATTAAAAAAAAATAAAATTTGTTTTAAAAAATATATGGTTTTTTGGGTTTTTTTGGGTTTTTGGGTTTAAAAGAAAACTGACATGCAGATGAAAAAATTTTTGCTTTTGAAAACCCCTTTTCGATTTTTTTTTATTGGGGGAAAACTTTTCCTCCCATTTAAGTCTGGAAAAAAATAGGGGAAAAGGTGGGAAATTTTAGGTAAAAGTCATCAGTGTAGAGAAAATATGTTTTTCCCTTTTATCAGCCTTCAGGGAAAGTCCCAACATATGGAAAAGGGAAGGGGCTTATATACGGGAAAAGGTAAGGTGAAGAATTTAGGGGTACCACTCTGGTGGGCGAATCCCTGGGGGTTTGGAATGGGGAGTGGGTAAAAATTTTGGCAATGTAGAAGAATTTTTTTGTCCAAAAATTTTCCATGATATTGCTGGTCAGACAGGTTTTTAATAATAGAAAAGGTTTAGGAAACAAAAAACAGTTTTAAAAGGGGGGACAAACCCTGGTATTTTTTATTGTGGAAACTTTTTTGGCCAAACAAAAAAAGTTCCCAAAGTGTTGCACAAAAACCCTTGGTCTAATGGTGTTTTAATATGCAGGGTTTGTTAATATGCAGACTGTCCCTTTTTTTTTTTTTCCCAAAACAGGGACCCATCTCCCCCCCAAAGGCGGGGTTTGGACCCAAAAAAAAAAAACATTTTCACCTTTCATTCACCTAATCAGGGTCTTTGCGGGGCCCACTCAGAAAAGCCCATTTTAGATGTAACCCCAAACAGCCAATATCCCAACCTCCCCTTTAAAGTCCCGGCCCATTGTTCTTCCCACCCCCCCAGGACTCAAGCCCTGACTAACCATTTCCCCTGTTCCTTTTACAAAAATATTACCCGGGTTTAACTTTCCCAACAACTGATGAAGTCCCAAAACCATTCACTCCATTCACCCCCTTATCTAACATTTTTAAAACACATGCCTGCTGAAATGCCCAAAACCCCCTTTTGCGGGAAAAAAACCAAATTTCCCCCCCTTACATTTTTAACCTTTAACAGTCCCCCCCTGTCTATCTGTTGAAAATGTTTTTTTTCTAGTTAATGTCTTACCCCCACCCCCCCCCAAAAAGTG